ACAAGGCGCAATCAAAACTAGTAAAAGAGAAGAGAAAAGACCAAAAACTGTCAATGACACCTCGACAATGATAAAAACGCTAAGCTTGACACCCAGTTCCAGGTAAACGCAAAGTTTGCAGAAAATACACCCGCAAAAAAAAAGCACAAGTGCTACAGAGATTACAAGGAGTAACAGAGACTGCCGCTGCCCCGTAACTTTTTCTCTCTCTTGAGAGGATGCAGAAGCATCCTTCGCACTGGGTTTAAGCAGGCTCTCTGGCGCTTGCCTAACAAAGATCCTTTGTCGAGCACATGCAATTCGTCGACTCGGCCACATCCAGCAATCTCTTAAACAAAAACCTGATGGCTGACGCTGTAATTTGCAAGGCTCAATTTGTACGTTTTAGCTGCACCTGACTGATAAGTGCAGCGTCAATGCCTGTTTTCTCGACAGGAGCTGTTGCAGTGGTGCGATAACGGTGGCATTTATTAGAACATCCTCCTTTTTTTGTCAGTCTAGGTGGATAATCGGGCACTGACTGACAGGTGTAGTAAATCAAGAATTAGGATGCCTTGTTTTTTCGGCGTCTCCTATGTACAATGGTTCTATGTGCCTATGTGTCAATTTCAAGAAACAATCTAAATATCGCTGCATTTACTCCTAAGCTTTTGCGACGTCACTAATTCGGCGGAAGGTCTTAGGGTATTCGGAAGTTCGCTGATTCTGACATTCGAATTCCCGATCACGAAACGGTTGGTCAACGCAGAAGTACAACTCAGGCCTCAACTTTCTTTGGCATCGCAGCACTACTTCAGGAATCTCAGTTCCCCTTACAGCGAGTTGAGAACTCTTTCACCACGTTACTATTCGGCGGGCAGTGTGAAACCCGACAAAATGAAGTGTTTTTGGTGACTTAGTTAAGATAGTATCATTGTTTTTTACGGAATTGTAGTTGGCGCGGGTTGAGAACCTCCGCGGATTTGCTAGGGAAGACACCCCCATAATTTTCGTTGGCCTTCTATTGTTGTGGAGTGGCGTTTTTGAACTAAGGACGGCAATGCTTGTATTGTCTTCTTTCGAAAGTCAAAGTAGACTGGGTTTGTTTTGGTACCTTACATTGGTATTTGCAGAAGGCGGAGTTGTGTAGTTCTTTACAGTGGTAGCAGGTTGTTCCTCAAAGGCAATTTCTATTCGCGTGGTCACTTTCTAAACACCGGAAACAAAGTTTCAAGTTCTGAGTGCTGACAGTACGGTCTTTTAAACCGGCGTGTATCTGACAATTGTCTGGTCAGTGTTGGTCTTGACAGAATGCATACTTGAGGGTGTAGTCTGCTGGCGCCTGTTCACTCACTTTCGGCGTTAAAGTGGCAAGCGTCATTTAGTTGCAGAATCTGTGCAGTCAAGCATATGGATTCAGTGAGTTTGTTGAATGAACATATAAGGCGAGTAGTATTTGGATTGCTTGCTTTCGTACCGAAGCGGCCGTTTTAACTTTGTTGGGAAGTTTTGCGAGGTTTGACTTCAAAAGTTACAATTTCTTTTTACAAATCTGGAGCAACAATGATTTTAGCAGCTTGGGTTCAATAAACAAGTCGATGTGGCATTATTGGTGACATTTTCTCCTTGCCGCTCCAACTGTCCGACAGTTCTTTTAATTTGGTTGGAGGCAACATCGATTTGATGCATAACTTTAACAAGTTTCAGTTGCTGCAGCTTCTGAAACAGCTTTCTTTTTTAGTAATGCAAAATTCCAAATTCCAAAAAGCAACTGCAGTGCTTTTTTCAAAATGTTGTTACTTTATAATGTTACAGAATATCCAGCCACTTTTGAAAGCGCTTCCTCTTTCAGACAACCAGTATTTGAATGTGTCGATGGAGAAAAGCCGTTTATCAACAGGACACGTAAAGCAGGCCCAAATTTGTGGTCATTTTTGAATATCTGTAGCATCAAACTATTGTGTTTTTAGAACTGGAGAATCTGGAAGCTTGATTTGGAGAGTGGACGTTGGATTTGTTAAGTGTTGTAATGGAGTGATGGGTGTGCGGTTGGGGACCATAGAAAGGGCTGTTTGATAAGTCGATAGATCGGCTAGCTTATTTTAAATTTTTTTGACGAGTTGTAGGAAGAGTGTATTTTTGAAAAGGAAATGTCGTAAAAATTCTTTCGTTGTCAGAAACTGTGGTGTTACGTATATGCTGCAAATCTAGTATAATCACAGTG